TGATGCAACACGACTGCAAAAGTGAGAATCACGGAAGATTCTCACATAAAAATCCCTGGAATTTGGAATGGGGAAAGACGCATGGACGGCATGGTGAAGAATTCGGCAGAACCCCAAACGCAAGAACGGAATATAAAATATCCAATAGAGCCCTTTCATTTTTTCAAAGACAGAAAAGATCCCACCCCCTATTTCGAGGCGACTAAAGAACAAAAGCGTGCGGATGGTTCAAATTTTCGACCATAACCCCAGTCGCAGCACTTAATATTTGCATTTGACAGAGAGAAAGACCTATGGCAAATCATCAGCATTTATAAAATAGCATGAGAGAGATCAACATCCTGGACCTCCCACAAGCTTTTCACTCTCCCATAATAGAGGATCATGACTGGACTGGACCACCTCATGTGGCCCGTAATGTCCAGACTCGGAATTTTTTGCGCTAACAGAGTCAGCAAGAGCCCTATTCTAAGACTATGGGTCGTCGTCTCAAATTGGTGCCGTTTCAGAATGGCCTCGACGTCGATGCCTTCACAAAGATCGATGAGACCCCGGTAAGCATGCAGGCAAGAAAGCTTGCCTTTGTCGCAAGAACAGCGGACCCGCATGGCCTGCACGGCGTTGCTTTTTAATACCGCCCCGCGCAAATCTAACCCGATCGACTTCGTCCCCCAAAGCACCTTGATCCCCTTGTTAATTTGCTGCGCCTCAGACTTCCGGAGCCCGAACAAAAACACCAGCAGCAACTTCGCGCGGTCTGTCGCGTTAACAATTTTCATGATGTCCGAGCGGAAAAGCGGGCTTTTTTGGGTGTGGTTGAAGACGCCCTTGCGTCGCAGGCTCGCCAACAGCGACCAAATAAAACTTTGCTCCACTTCGTTCATGGAGAGCTCGCCCTTCTTCCGCGCAGTCTTGAGGATCAGGCTAACATCGTCATCAAAAGTCTTGTATGACGTCACCAAGCAGACCGCCACAAAATTCTCCAGGTGGTGGAAAGTGACCGGCCAAGGTTCACCCCCGCTCGCCCTAATAATCCTCTCATACTTCGACACCTGCGAAGCTACAGTGGACCCCGAAGCCATCGATGTCATCGAGCTCAAAAACTGCACGCACTGTGCTAACGACGCTGGGTCGGAGGCCAAACGGCACGCCGCCGAGAGTTTGGCCGACGTGCGTGTTTTTCTTCCTGTCGCTGGGTAAGAAATCGGAACCCCAGCCGACTCCTGCAGGATTTTCTCCAGCCTATCTACCGGCTGCTCGCGCGCATTTTCTTGTTTACTCTTTTGCGCCAACTCTAGTTTTTTGCGATAGCGATTCATGATAGACATCATCTTGTGGTAAACACCCCGGAGGCACAGAGAGCACCCTAGGAAAAGACCAGAAAAAGGCGTATATGCAGTCCCTCCGAATAAACAAAATCAAAAACTCTATGTCCCTCTAGCAGCTAGTCTCGAACTAGCACAGACCTGTGGGAAAAGGAGAAAATGGCACTGACTCGATCAAGCTCAGGATCGAGAAAACACTAACTGGAACTGCCCGGCAGAGGCAAAATTTTTCGATCACTGACCCTACACTAGTCTTCGTTTTCCATCTTGCTTAGGTTCAGCACATTGATCTCACCCAAAAAACAAAAATATGGCAAAACATAAATCAACCCCCCCAGCGCTCGCCTCCCTGCGCTCGTCCTCTCTTAGGTTTAACGGGTTGGTTACCGCCAGTGCCACAGAGCCGAACCAGAGCAAGATGGAAAACAACCAGGGTCAGTGATCGGACAACCCAAATCACTAATGATTGGCACACCCAATCATCTCTCACCACATTCTCGTCGGAGCAGCTAGCGCCGCTGCTCCGAAGTGGTACAACATCAAAAACAACCAGCCAGGGAAGCGCCAGCGTTCCTCTGCCAACTGGCCCAACACACAGTCCCGCATGGACAAATCAGAAAGCCCCTGCATCCCCCAGACGACAACACGTCTCCTGAGTAAAAAGATGCAGATATCAACATGCTACCATCGGCAGGGGCGCGACTCCCTGAAAACACGAAGAGACTTCCACGACAGCAAAACCACAAAACAGTAGTCGTTTGCTGCGCAAGTTTCTCTACGGTTTTGGTTACCGTAACGGGTGGGGATCTTCGTACATAAAATATTGACCGACCATCCTCGGCCTTGACTCACAGGCTCGCAAGACCTGCTGGTGCTCGGTCATACATTT